CTGGGAAATCCTCCAGTCCATGGGGTCACAAAGAGTTGGACACGACTGAGCGACTGAACACATTTGGTGGTTTATATCTGTAAGGCAGAGACCCAGGAGGCCCTGGTAGACCCAAGGGTCACAGACTTCCTCTAGCATGACTTGGGCGTGGCCTGGTCTTCCAAGGTGACTTCCATGTGGCAAGCCTGTGACAAATGCTCTGTTTTAAATGAAGCCTCTGGGGAGTTCCATTGGCTGGACGTTATGTTTCATGTGACTTTACCTTGTGAAATTTCTTCCCTAATGGAACAACTATTGTGGCTGATAGGATTGAAAAACAACATAGCCTAGAAATTTTGTAGCCATAAAATTTTTTTCTGGCCCCTATAAAAAGATAATAAAACCTATTTCTGTGGTCTTTTCATTGACAAATTCAAATTCTGTTGTAGCACATTCTAAGTGAAAGTGAAAGTCCCTCAGTCGTCTCTGACTCTCTGCGACCCCATGGACTATACAGTCCATGGAATTCTTCAGGCCAGAATACTGGAGTGAGTAGTCTTTCCCTTATCCAGGAGAAAGGGAATTAAAGCCCATTAAAATGGGCTATAATTTATGTTCTTAGAAAAGGGATAATTGGAACTATTAGTCAAATGCTTGTGGGAATATGTAAATAACTTTACTGAGTTTTCTGATTTTGATTTTGAAATAGCCTAAATCTTTACTTGGCCACAATGCCTGCAATGCAGGAGACCTGGGTTCAATCCCTGGGTTGAGAAGATCCCTTGTAGAAGGGGATCTTCAACCCACTCCAGGATTCTTGCCTGGAAAATCCCACGGGCAGAGGAACCTAGCAAGCTCCAGTCCACGGGGTCACAGAGAATCAGACAAAACTGAGTGACTAACACACTTACTTGACCATCGTCTCAAACTCCTCCCCCTTTCCCCTGTTCTAGTCCATATTGCTTTCATTATTTTTATGTCCCTGTGCATTCATACAACTCTTTCATCGTCTCTTTCTGGAAACATCTGTTGTATATTCAAATGTGGCTTGCATGTGTTTTCTCTTATTTGCAACTTATTTGTGTTCTCTTATCTGCTCATTGAAAGGGTTAACAAGAGATCCCTTTGGGTCTCTCATGAATTATCTACCTTGTTTTCTTTTTTAAAATTTCTATTGGAGAATAGTTGCTTTACAACTTTGTATTCATTTCTGCTGCACAAATTATGTATACATAGACCCCCTCTTTTTTGGATTTCCTTCCCATTTGGATCACCAGAGAACACTCACTAGAGGTTCTCTGGCTGTACAGTAGGTTCTCATTAGTTATCAGTTTATACATAGCAGTATATATTTGTCAATCCCAATCTCCCAATTCATCCCATCCCATTCTTTCCCCCTTGGTATCCATACATTAGTTCTCTGCCTTGTTTTCCTATAGCAACTTTCTCCTTAACCCACTGTGTCTTGGCAATGGGGCAGTTTCTAGAAAGGAGAGAACTCTTACTATCATGCTCAGAATGGGGATGAGTTACCACTAGGTGTTGAATTACTTCTAATCTATGTTTTCTTCTCCTTTTTGCTCACCTCCCTGTCTTGCTGCCCCTCGGAACATGGCATGGGACCTGCCCATCATCTGGAAAAATGTTATCTCTGGGTGTGCGACTCGGACGATGTGGGTGAGTCCTGAAATTAATGTTTAAGCTGTTGATTTCTCTCTGTGTTTGGAGAAGAAGAAAACTGCCAGATGAAATTGTTTGTTGGGAAAATACCTTTAGCATCCTGGTGCCCACATGCATGCACCCAATGCGCCTTCATGTTTTGCTCTTGGTTTTCTTTATTTCTGGAAGAAGGGGGTTTGTACAATTTTGAAGAATAGTTCTTTATAACAAAGTAATTTGAAAATATCCCAAACAGTTTGAAATGGAATTTTCTAAGGCTCTTGTTTGGTTGTTTGTATAAGTTATACACCATGGATATTCACAGTTACCATTTGTGGCAGATATGTGTGTTTGTTTTTGTGATGCTGACATTGTTTCTAATATAAAGGCATTGGAAATGGTACACTGTGGATGTATTTATATTCAGTGAGTCATGAATTTGACAAGAAATCGTCCCACTTTAATTGGTCCTCAAGGTAGCAAGATTCAAAATATCAAACTTTGTTCTTCCAGAAGGGGTCAGTAAGGATGTACTGGGCACCCAGCTATTCCACCTGTGGAACCAGGGGAGGGAGAGAGGGTTAATGTCTGCTGGTGGATTTCTTGTTGTAGAATGGAGACCAGATGACAGGCAGGTTTTGAATACAAAAAGTAGAGTTTTAGTTATATTTCTTTCTAGTTATCAAGCATGTGGGAAATAAGATCCACCCCCCCCCCACAAGAAGCCTTTGATTAGCATGATACTATAGGAGTGGCTGGTTTAATAGTGTCTATCCATTTTTAATTTCTTTATTTTTAATTGGAGGATAATTGCTTTATAATATTGTTTGTTTCTGCCATACATTAACATGAATCAGCCATATATATATGTCCCCTCCTTCTTGAACTTCCCTCCACCCCATCCTACCCCTCTAGCTTGTCACAGAGCACTGGATTTGAGCTCCCTATGTCACACAGCTAATTCCCACTGGCTATCTATTTTGCATATTGTTATGTATATGTCTCAGTACTACTCTCTCACTTCACCCCACCCTCTCCTTCCCTCACTGTGTCCACAATCTGTTTTCTATGTCTGCATCTCCATAGCTGCCCTGCAAATAGGTTTATCAGTACCATTTTTGTAGATTCCATATATATGCATTAATATACGATATTTGTCTTTCTCTTTCTGACTTACTTCACTCTATATAATAGGCTCTAGGCTCATTCACCTCATTAGAACTTCTATCCTTTTTTAAAAAAAAATGTCCCTAGCATGGCTGGTTCCTGGAAAAAAGAAATCCTTTGGGGTATTCTTCTATAGGAAAATCATTGTCTTGATCATCCATTCCACTTTCATCCTGGGTCTCCCTCTACACAAATTCCAAATAAATTTCAAACTGTCGTCTTAGCCAGTTGAGATGGCAGGATTTCACTCGCTGGGAGCAAATGCATGTTACTGTTACAAATACATAATGCCATCTGTTATTTCTGGAATCTCTAAAGCTATATTGAATGTTAGCATGAAATTTGGCATGGATATTTGTGAGATTTTCTATTCTGGTGTAAGTAATTTGGGAATCTTAATCTTAGATGATTTGGCTGCCTGTAAATATCCTTAGGACTACGTATCACTTGAGTTTACTCTGTTGAGCTATGAGTTGTTGATTTGATGCAATTACCACCTAATCAGCAGTTTTGCCTTTTGGGTTATGCTATGATTTTTCAGTTCCACATCTAAAGTCCCCTTTTGGGATTCACACTCTGTTTTCCTCTGTGTATGTCTGTAGGTCTGTCCATTATCCTTCTCGTTAACAAGCAGTCCTCAACCTAGCACCCAGGGATCGGTTTTATGGAAGACAATTTCCCCACAGATCAGGAGCGGGGGATGGTTTCAGGGTGATTCAAGCGAATTGCATTTATTGTGTACTTTATTTCTATCATTATTACATCACTTCCACCTCAGATCATCAGACATCAGATCCCAAAGGTTGGGGACCCCTATTGTAAATGATAACCTGCTGGACAACCATCCTTAAAAATCTCACTTTCTCTTCCAGTAATAATCAGTATCTAGAGCCTACTTCTTTTAAGTTAATCCTGTGCCACATATTGTGAATTCTTTCTTCTAGGACTCAGAAAGTTCGGAAGATAGCACTGTGTTTGTGAGATGTTCAGGGGATCTTCTGAAATCTCTGGTCCTAGAAGCAGCAAGGTATAAGCCAGAGTGTTTGCCTGTTTTCTCACATCCGACTCCGTTCCAGAGCATGTGTGTCCTCATCAGTTTCTCCTTTTCTTTCGCTTTCTAAGGTTCCCTTCTACTCTATTTAGGAATCTTTTGATGTGTGTGTCATTTGGGCTTTTTAAATTTGTTTTTGTTCCATTTACAGAGAGGGGACAGGCTGGGTCTGCAGCCTAAAGATTTGGTCCATCTGGGATCACTTTCTTAAAAAAAAAAAAAAAAGCTAATGGGCTTGTCACCCAACATGGTTTCTTTTCTGGGATGTGCATGATCAGATATCATTAGCACCCTCATTTTCGGCATCACCTTCATCGCTTCCGCTTTCCCAGGTGCTGGGCAATGGACTGCATATGCGTCTCACTTAATCTTCATAACCTCATGATAGGAACCTGCCTGTCATCCGATTTCATGGATGAGTAACCTGAGGTACAACTTATCCGTAAAAGCCACCAGGGTCCTAATCATAAGCTGTTTCTGTTTAGATATATTTCCTTTTAACAATTTTAATATACTTTTTGACCCTTCTGTACCTTCAAAAACAGAATTTTGGTGCATCTCTGACGTCTAATATTTTGTCACATACAACTAAATTTGTCTTTCATCTGGTAATTATATAAAGCTCTCTCATTGTGCAGGGGGTAGGGGGATTAGAAGGGGTTATAGTAAAAAAAATGTGTCAGTTAGGAGGGTGATTTGCCCTATGAAAGAGACTTCCGTTTCTAGAGAAGTTGCTATCCTCAACAGTATAATATTTTGATAGAACTAATAGTGGTTTTGCAGGGAAAAAAGTCAAACAGAAACTAATTTTTCTCCCCAATTCATATAAAGCCTTGTACCTACAAATTCCATTTAGATTTTCAGCTCTTGCTTTTGAGGGTTACTGAGCTTCTAAACATAACCATGAATACTTCTCTAATAGCTAATTTTCTGCTTTATTAGTCAGGGTAATAAGGCCCTTCTCAAAATCAGAGAGACATGAAAAGCAGAAAGTTATCTTGGTCAGCTAGGTCTTCCTGCTTGAATCTCCCAAGGGTCTCCATTGAGAAGGACAGGAGTTGATGGAGCCAAGCCATAGATATCTTGGACCAGAAGCCTGGGATTTCCAGTTGCCCAAGGTGTGCAGATTCTCATCATATCTTACCTGAGTTTTGCAACGGCTTGCCAAATCCTTCTTTTCATCTTTACGCCATCCTTCATCTGGCTCCAGAGACACATCCAAGCTATAAATCTGCCCATGTCTCCCTCTTGCTTTAAACACCCCCGTGGTTCCATCTTGCTTCTGGTCCTGCTTCTCCACCATGGTTTTGTAACAGCCTGGTGAGCGTTAATCGTCTGTGTGGGTGTCACAGGTAAGGGGCTGCTAATAATAAGTCTAAGTATTAGAGCTTAAGAAGTATTTATTTCTAAAGTAAAATAGGCTGGATTCAAGTTTATCTCTATGGCATTATTGCCTGTACTCACTTTTATTCTGTACCATTTCATCTGTGTGTAAAATAAAGGTCTGTTAATATCTATCTGTGCTGTGTGCTCAGCCGCTCAGTTGTGTCTGACTCTCTGTGACCCCATGGACTGTAGCCCACCAGGCTCCTCTGTCCATGGCATTTCCCAGGCAAGATACTGGAGTGGGTGCCCTGTCCTCCTTCAGGAGACCTTCCCAACCCAGGGATCAAAGCTGCATCTCCCACATTGGCAGGCAGATTCTTTATCATGAGCCAGCAGGGCAGCCTATCTATCTATCAGATGCCATGTCTGGCTATGTACTAGGGATTGTGTATAAAATCATCAGCCCTCCTTATTTGTCTCATCACCTAGTGGTTGCTGGTGTATAGCTAGTAATTCTGTTTATCAAGAATTTCTGTAGCACTTGTGAGTTGTAACTTTGTAGTTATTGACTGGGTCTATGTAATTTTACTTGTGGATAATTTCTAGGTAAGAAGGAAGGCAACTACCCCTCATAGCTCAGATGGTAAAGAATCTGCCTGCAGTGCAGGAGACCTGGGTTCGATCGCTGGGTCGGGAAGATCCCCTGGAGAAGGAAATGGCAACCCATTCCAGTATCCTTGCCTGGAAAATCCCGTGGACAGGAGCTTGGTGGGCTGCAGTCCATGGGGTCGTAAAGAGTCAGGCACAACTGAGCGACTAATACACACACACAAGAAGGAAGGCAAGGATACTTGAAGAGAACCCCAACACTCTATTTATGTAATGATGTTATAAACATTCTGCTCCAAATGACAATAATTTTTGATGACAACATAAACGTCAAAGTGATGATAAGGAGTAAAACTTTCAAGAGGACAAGTTATATAAACAAAAAGTTAAGATCTGTACATTTCATGTGTTTGAGTAACAAATAATATAGTTGCTCTTCCAGAGTCCATGTTTATTTACTTTTCTAACATTACCCACGAAATGGAGGTTTAAAAAAAAAAAAAGACAAAGTTCTTTTTTCAAAATAAAATATTTTGAAAAATCTTATGTGCTAAAGATTTTTCTTATAAAATGTTTAATTCTGTGCAGAGTAGATAATGTCAGAAATTACATGTTTATGTAAAGTGTCCGCACCACCCTCATACTCCTGAAATGTCTGTGCTGCTTTTTGCTTTATATTCCCAAGTAATTTTGGTGGAGGTGAAGAGTTGGAAAAATCTGGAAGTGTAGATTGCATGGAAGTCATCTGTCTCGTGTCTCCATCTAAAAAAAGGTCAAGAACAAAGCTCTTTACCATAACCCGCAAGTTTTCCCTGATCCTATTACCACGTACCAGATGCATCAGCCAGGTGGCTTTTGGCTCCAGGCTTGTGTCACTTGATACTCCTGCTGTGTCCCATGTGTGTCCTGCCTTTAGCATCCCAGGGACTTGCATGTATCCATGATTTTTCTCATTTTCTCTCTCTTGCTTTCAACTCCTTCCCTTGTCCTTATCTAATAATTCCTGCTTGCCTTTTACACACAGCTCCCAAAAGAATTCTGTCCTAATAAGCATACTCTTCTCCCATCCTCCTTGGTATGAGAATCCATCAGATTCTTTCAGCACCTGTGTGTGTCTCCCTGTATCTTTGCATGCCATAAGGAGTGATGGATTTACCTATATATGCCCCTGCTGTTTTATAAAACCAGAAAGAACTGAGACTTCCTCTTCAACAATTCCTTATGTCTTGTCTAACACCTAAAGTCAACAGGGATGTCATGGGTTATTTCTTGAGGATAGATTGTGAAATGGACATTGATGACCCAAGTGTTTATTAGCAGGATATCCCTGAAACCAACGCCAAGGAGGAAGGCAGGACAGAACAGAGGGAGAAGTTGTGATCCCCACAAAGGTCTCGGCTCACGCTATGGGGACCCTTAGAGCTGGGCTGACCTCCAGGTTATTTCCAATTAGAGCAAGATGGCCCGAGCATCCTTACCTGCCCCACTGGAAGGATGTATGACCTCGGCAAGCCAGCTGTCTTCAGTGGAGGCAACTCCACAAAGGGCTGACAGCTGAGAGCTGCTTTTTGACAGCACTTCTGGAAGCTGGACGATTATAAATCCTTTGTTCCTGGAAGGATATCATAGTGCCCACATGCATGCATGCTCGGTCACTTTAGTCATGTCCAACTCTTTGTGACCTACAGACTGTAACCCGCCCGGCTCCTCTATCCAGGGGGTTCTCCAGGCAGGAATACTGGAGTGGGTTGCCATGCCCTCCTCCGTGGGCATCTTCCCGGCCCAGGCATCAAACCTGGGTCTCTTTCACCTCCTACATTGGCAGGCAGGTTTTTTACCACCAGCGCCACTGGGGAACCCCTCACAGAGCCCACTGTAGGGTTATCGTGGCGTCCACTTACAGGCACAGGACTCGTGACATTGACTGTAGAAGGGCCAAATGCCTGTGAATTCGGGAAATTGGGGCTGAAAAGAGGGAATGAAACACGCGGATGGTTTCTATCTGCTCTATTAATAGGAATGGTTTTAATGAAAATGGATTTCTCTCTGAATAAGGAGATACGATTTTTTAAAGACCCTTTAAGCTCTAAGCCTTCGAGCCCTGAAAGCAGCAAATGCATTGTTTGTAACTGTTCCAAATAGTGAAACTTCTGCTGCTCATTCCACCAACATTTATTGAGTCCCCAAAAGATACACAGCACTATAGTAGCTGTTGAGGGACCCAAAAAATTGTTTAAAGAAAAAAGCAATCAAATATCCAGGAGATTTCAACCCATTGGTAGATAAGGTCACAAAGCAGAGCAGAATGAAACTCTGGAGCAAGATGTTACATGAGCTGAGCCTGGAACCTCCAGAATCTTGAGTCTGACTCTTCCAGGAAATGGTAGCTTTTACTTTTCTACCCCCCAAAAACATCTCATTTGACTTTTATAGTCTCTGCAACCAATGACCTCCATTTATTGAAAAGAGAGGCACTCTTACCAAAACCTGCAGTGGCCAATGAAAACCAAATGATAACTCTTTCTTCTCTGTTCCATTCCCAGACACTAAAAATGAAATGATGCTTGTGCCTTTTAGCTGTGATTTCTGTAGGAAAAAAAAGTCCCCACATGGGGGGCTATATATATATCAGTTCCAGGGCTGGGCCTACAGAGGCCTATGGGTCTTGCTTGGTGATGTTCGCTTCTAATCATCTCTGAGGTTTGCTGTGGGCTCTTGTCCCTACTGGTGACTCTGAGTCACCTGCAGGGTTGAGGTGTGCCTCAGCTCATTTCCACTGTGTTTGAAAGAAAATGCCTTTGGGGACTTTCTTGATGGACCAGTGGTTAGGACTTGTGCTTCCATAGCAGGGGGCGCGAGTTCGATCCCTGGTTGGGAAACTAAGATTCCACATGCTGTGCGAATCAAAAAATAATAATGTTAAATATTATCAAAAAATAATAATAAAAAATAAAAGAAAGTGCCTTTTCACCTTGCTTTTATAGAGGATTCTCCCTTCCTTTTAATGACTTCTATGTACATTGTAGTTCCTTTCTTTCCCTGCCTTATCTTTAATTGCTAAGATGATGACAGTGCTGATGAAGAAGACATATGATTCTCTCTCAAAGGTTTAGTAAAAAGGAAAAAAAATGAAGCAAACTGAATTACAATAGCAGAGTTCTCAATTATGCTTATGAGACAGTGTTGGTGATAAGGAAGTAGTTAAACATTACTTAACTTAGAAATTATTCTCAGGACTAATACCAAGTGTCAGCAAAACGAACAACAATTGATCTATCAAGTTCTTTCCTCCTTGGCATATAGAGAATGAGATTATTAGCTTGGCAAAGTTATTCTACAGTCTCCTTTAGTGTGTAGCTTTCTCTACCCACCATTTTTTTCTCCTGATGGTCCTGAAGTCCCATATTTAAAAAATTTTAAAACATCAGTTACCCAGTCTCCTCTGCTGACTCTTCTAAAGATGTTACCCTCGAGATAAAGAGAGGAAAGCTGAAGGGCTGTAAGCCTGTCGAGTCTGTATTGATCCTTCCTGTTGAATTTAGCATCACTTTCCTGGTATTCATCATGCAGGAAGTAGATACGAGATGCCCAGGTCACCTATCTTTTAGGGAATAATTTGAATATAAGTTTTACTCCATAAGACTCTATTATCATAGTATCAGTACTGGCTACAAGAGGGCAAGAGAAACGGGGAAAGCACAATGTTTGGGGGAGTGTGTGAGTGTGTATTTTCTATGCTACAGAGTGGATTTCATATCCTCTCCCATCTGAAAAGCTAGTTGGAAAACTCCAGTACATTGTAGCAGAAGGACAAACAGCATCAACGTGGAAACTTGGTTCGAAAATGAAAGCTTAATGAGCAATCTTACATGAAAGTTGTCACTTTTAAAGGTATCGAAAAAGGCTCATGTAGTCTGTCCAGTTCATCTAGTCTTTGTTTTAGTCAACAAACAGCTTGAAAACCCAAAGTTCAGATCAGTTCTCTTCTTTTTAAAGAAATCACCTGGGCCTCCCAGGTGGCCCAGTGGTAAAGAATCCGCCGCCAATGCAGGAGACGCATAAGATGCCGGTTTGATCTCTAGGTCAGGATGATCCCCTGGAGTAGGAAATGGCAACTCACTCCAATATTCTTGCCTGGAAAATTCCGTGGACAGAGCTACAGTTCATGGGGTCGCAAGAGTTGGACATGACTAGAGACTGAGCACACATACTGTCATCAAAGATTAACCGCTAAGTGCTATTCTTCTTTACTCCTATTAATTTTGCTTCTGTAAATCATTTATGGTAGCAGAATAATTTGAATGTAGTAAATAGCTTGAAAAGGAAGGGATCGGCTTGCTTATGGACAATATGAAGCAAACGTCAAAA